GATATCAATGGGAATGGGTCTTTCCGGGCTTCGGAACCTGGGGAAAAACATTTCCATCAAAATCCGAGAAAAATATCTCGGATTTCAATGTAAATGGTGTTTTTCCGGGTTCCGGAGCCTGCAGGAAAGGGGTATGAAATGCCGGACAGCAGGGAAAAACGACTCGGGGTTGCTCCGGGGGCTCGGAATCTTTCAGAAAAGCATGTCAAACCTGGCGGTTGTCATTTTCAAAAAAGAATGTTTACTTGTCAGCCCACAGTGCAGCTCATTGTGCTTTGAGGCTGAGTACTCCATTTGGAAAGTGGCTGTGACAATGCCCGAAGAAACTCTGTAAGTATACTCGACACCCATGATTCACCATATGAGATATCCGCGATCGAGAATCGGTAGGGGGCGAACGGCCATGAGCCCCGAGATTGATCGACCCTTTATGGATGTACAGAACGGATATCAGGCCGGGGAGATATGGATCGAGCTTTGAGTCATTCGAGGCCGGAGCGCTCGTCGGTCTCCTCAGATTAGATGCGAACACTCGAGCAGGTGGTCTCTGAGAACTTGGTGGTTGCTGCGGAGGAGAATCCATAGATCCTGTACGCTTGATAAGAGTCCCATTCCCTCTTTATTAAAAATCTCTCTCGAGTATTCGAGTGGTGCCGTGAATTCTCCGGAATTTCTAATCCATAATTCGACAATGGATCCTACGATCGGAGAGTCGCGAAGCCGCCATCTCCTGGGGCAGACAGGCGGGAGGCTTTTCCAGAGCATGGCGAGACTCTCAATCGAACATTGCAGCGGCTTCTTCCTGATATTCACAATATACCGCCATGTATTTGGCAACAAAACCTTCGAGATGAAAAATGGGCTTCGAACCTAAATGCATTCTATGCTCGTAAAGAGCGGCCTCTGCGATTATTCGTCCCTTAATAGAGTCATCGGTCTTTTCCAAGAGACGCTGGAGAAGTTCCTCGAAGATCAATTGTGGAGGTACGAGGTGAGACAGCAGCTCGTATAATCGCTGCCGCACGTCGAAGAGTTTTTGTGGCGTTTGCTCCTTGATTATCTCATTCGCCGTGTCCCTGATGTAAATTTCCCAATCTGGCAGAATCACATCCTGGTCTGCCGAGAAAGGATACTGCTTCACTCGACATGCTTCGAGCATGAGAATGGCCTTCCGCAGATTACCGGTTGAACTTTGGGCGATCTTCTGGGCCAACTCTTGCGGGAGATTCAGGCTCTCCTTCTTAGCAATGTAGTTCAAGATTCCCACCTGTGTTTCAGATTCGAGTCAGAAATCAGAAATAAACCGTGGACCAGGGGTGAATGCCGACGAGAGAAATACGGGAGCGAATTCAAACGCCTCTTACGATTTCTGAAGAACTAGGGGCGGGCACGCGGATCCCTAAGCATCGACTCCGGATAGCCGGAATGACTTTCGTCGTCGAATTGCAAACAAGAATGAGTCGACAAGACTGCATGTACTTCTCCATTGTTCGTCTGAGCGCATGTTGAGCGTCCCGGGATAAACGGTCAACCTCTGTCAGAATGACCACTGCAAGGGGATCGAAACCCGATCAGATCGAGGTCCGGGACTCGAATGACGCCAGAATGAAACCTTCGACTTCAAGATTTCCACGAGCGCCGTACCTTTGAAAGCTTTCTTCCGCTCTTTGTCATCTTGGACTGCTGTGACGGCGACGTTCTGGGTTTGGGCGATGTTCTTCAACAGCTCCTGAATTACCACCCTATCCTGGATACCAACATCGGACGGATTCACCTCGATATGATAATTCGACGACAGCTGCAACGAGACGATTCGCTTCATTAGACATGCGTGCCTTTATCCAACGCAAACTCAACGACATCTCAATTAGCGTAGATCCGAGATCTGATTATATCAATGATGGAAATAATACCGTGCGGATTTCGATCTTCTTCTTGCTCTGCGTCGTGAAAACCTGTTGCTCGATACGGAGCCTTTCTACGCCGCTGCCGAATAATTCCTTCAGTGTTGCCATGATGCGCGTCTTCTTACCCGCACCGGAGGGGCCATAAACCAGGAGGTGGGGAAGATCGCCACCGTTCACCTGCGGAGGAGGCCGGCTTGAGTTGCTAAATCATTGTCTCCATTAAGGCAGTCACGCAGTTTTGTCGTCATCGTTGTGTTTCTCACCAATCCTTTGAGCCACGAAGCCTGTTTCTTGTGATAGTCCAACTTCTCGAGATCTTTCGGTCTGTACTTATCGACGTAGAGGGCCATGATTGTCCGCTGTACTCAGTTGTATCTCAGAACTCTCGGTCGGGAGCCGAATTTCGCACGGCAGAGCGAGCCCTCTCCGATGTGGGTGAAACCGCGCCAAATAGTCCCAAACACCAGACATCGGCCGAATTTCGCTCGCGGGGTCGTGTATAATTCATACGAGAAATGCCGCCTCAGTCACCCCGAGACTTTATCATCCTGACGTCATGGTCACTCTTGACGTGAGATTCCTCCAGCCTTTCCAAATTCCAAGTTCGAGCGGGCTAAGTCGGAGAATTTCGGAATTCACTCTGTTTCGATCCAACCCCGTGTTTTCATAGACGTTCCGCTTTGTTTACTATCAGCGTCGTCTGCTCGCGCCTGCCGTGGAATATTGCGATCGAACGCCGGAGGTACGCCGGATCTCGGCTTGGTCAGCACGGTGGTCACCTAGGGAAGCGAGCTCAGAACTTGAGGCCTATCCCCGGTGATCGCTTCCGTGACTCTCCTTGGTCGCGGACAGATACTCGGTCGCGAGTCACCGCAAGCAAGTCGAGGTCCTCTCGTTCTAGTGTTCCGCAATCCTTTTGTGAATCCCGTTCGATTCCTCCCCGGAGTTCACCTCTGCTCTGGAATCGTGATGGCTGACGACTTCGACTACGACGATGACGACGTAATCGATACCCAAGTCACCCAGCGGAAGCGACTCTTCTCCAAAGAATTATGCGCCATGATGTACGGTTTCGGAGACGATAAGCAACCCTATATGGAGACCGTGGACCTCCTGGAAGAACTCGTCATCGAATTCATAACGGATCTGTGCCACAGAGCTATGGAAATCGGTACGTCACCGAATACATGCTCCCTAAGGATTACCTTTCCTAGAAGTCCGTCGCTGAAAGTCACGTAGATTAGTTGGTAGAAGAATCCGATCGGCTGGAGCATTCCTCATAGAATCCTGTGCGATGTCGTTTTTCATTCCAGGACGTCCAGGCAGAGTTCAAGTGGAAGACATAATCTTTCTCGTTCGCAAAGACCCTCGGAAGTACGCGAGGGTCAAAGACTTGCTCACCATGAACGAAGAACTCAAGAAAGCGCGAAAAGCCTTCGACGAAGTCAAGTACGTCCAGCAATGAGCGCTCGGAACTCCCGGCTCCTGTAAAATGTACACATGGTGATATTTGTAAATTATGCTTCGCTACAATTAAACGACCATTTTACTTATACTCGTGAATTTACAACGTACGCTCCGATGCAAACGGTCCCATCGTCCCGTCGATGTCCGAAGAAGCCCAGCATTCTCGCATGATATATTCAGAGCTCGAGTACTATACCGTCGAAACTCACGACGGGAATGTTCCCCAGAAAACCATTCTTGCTACCGAAATCGTTCCGTGGTGACTTGGGTTGAGAAGCCAATCTGATACGTGAAAGCTCTCTGGTCCCGAAGGCGGGAATAGTTTACTACTGCTCGAAGAGTTCGGAGTTCATCTTCCCCATCCGGAGCTCTGTCGGTTGGACCAAAGAAGCCTGGTTCCTCCGATTAAGACGGGGATTCCTATCCACATATCGGAACGATGGTTCTTTTCCATATGGAAATTAGGCCAGGCTCGTGGATCTAATATTGTTCGCGGACGGAAGGCCAATCGGTTCAAATTCTAGGTATTCTTCTTGGGGACGTGCCCAGGATTCTGTGAACCAGCGCTTCTTAACCTGGATTCCGCGAGCTCCTGCTCGGCTGCTCAGACTTTTATTCATTTTATCGAATTGGAATGAATTTTCTGAGCTCCAATGCATGCGGGATACTTCATGCGATCGTGGTCGAGGGCTTTGAGGTGATCAAGGGGAAAATTTGGAAAGATAGAGTCCGAAACCAATAATAAGGGTTCCGCAGGGCAAAAAAGGTTAAGGACCGCTGTCCTAAACACTCCCTCGCCAGCGCCCCACGTTTTTTCGAAAATATCGAAGTGGGAATGATCCTCTGAGAAATGAAGATATGGTGATAGAGGACTCTCTCGTTTCGCGACATGTATCGGAGCATCTGGAAATTCAGCAGACTCAATATGTTTGTAATATTCGTCCTGCTTGAGGTGTTCTTGCCCCGCAAAAAGCGAGTCTGAAACCGAAATGATGACGACCAAGCCCTCCGCAGGGGATCTGCCTCCGGTCAGTTTTGATGCGGAATCCACGAACTGTGGATCGGGACTCACCCGAAAATCGCTCGAAGCGACAATCGAGGGCGCCTGCATTCGCCGTCAACGCTAGCTCGAAAGATTCTCATGGTTGGGCTGGGAGCGAAGTCTGCGGACTCGAAGATCGAGCTCTCCAAGAATATACTGACCGAATCCAGATTATTCATGCCTCGATTATCGTGAGGGGGAAGATCGGGTAGACGGAGCGCACGCCTGCTAATAAATGTCCAACAGTCCGACGCTCATCTCTGGTTGATATTTATGTGTGAAGAAACAACGTCTCGGAGTAGCTCCAACCTGCCGTGCCGGCGAATGGAAGCTCAAAGGAGCTCCGTCCAGATCGTCGCTTCTCTCTTTCTCTACATTCTACGGTGCCTGCAGGTGAGTAAACTGAGATGGCCTTCGGAATTCTGATTGTGCGAGCGGTCTTCTATTCTTGCGAGCGGGCCCCCACACCACAGATTCATCGGGAATTCCGATTCTCGCAACCGCGCAGCACATCAAGCCCGAGTACTTTCGTCGATCTTATTTCCTCTCCCGTCCTTCTCGGTGAGAGGAGCCCTGCAATGTAATGCTCAAATATAGCCACTCCCAACCCTTCATCTAACTCGATGAGCCGTTGGAGCGATTCGAATCCCGTTCGTGTTGGGTTCAGTCGTTCATCTACTCAAACTGATGAAGAGCTCCATAACCGCACGCGTTCTGTTGCGACAGGCTACGTCCGCGTATCAGGCATAATTGTGGTTGAGCGTTCATCGTTGGTCTTCTTCCGAGCGCACACGGAATTTTCCCGCTCCCATAAACATAGACTATCCAGGGCGAACCGGCTCGAAGTGCCGCTTGGGAAATCCGTCTAGACATACTCGAGAATCGACGAGATCGGGTTATTTCGACACGTATTCAGAAGCCATCTTGAGAACCTCACGGACTCATACAACCCAGAGCAGGAGCCTCGGGATGCGCTCATTGAGGTGACATTTATTAAAATCAGCTCACGACGGCGCCTGATGTCTTCGAGCAAGTCATGAGTACATCGTCAAGATTTCTGTCTTTGTATCATTCCCCATCAGACGATCCCGGTAGTCGTGTCTTGGGTTTTTCTCTTTTTCTCTCCGCCGACAGCTCCAGTGGGGCTCGCTCGTTTCCGGGAGCCATGAATGCTCGGAGACTTCGGACGCGGAGATTTTCCGTTTTGGTTCAGCGCGGAGATTAAGGTCCGACAAGGTTGCCAAGAAGGATAACGCTCATTATCGAGTCTAAGTAAAGCCCCCGAGCCGAAGCTTCGCCGCCATCTCGTCGAAGGAATCGAGATTTCGAAGTGAAAAAGTTCGCGGGTTGAGCCGCGGAACAAGCTTGCAATAGCACACATGGGCCAATTCGGCAAAATGTCGTTTGGAGGGGAGTCGTTCTCCCCCAATACAAGGGAGATTGGCCGAATACCTCATGCTGGAGCTCATATTCAATGTTGTCGGAATCTCGCGAGCTTCCCTCCAGAGACACTCGTCGTTTAAGGACGAGACCACCACCGAAGAATGCTTGTATCATGAAATTTTTCCGGTCCTCTAGACCTAGACAACAAGACTCACGGCTCTCATGACATCGGACGAAAAGGTGGAGAGGAAACCGGCTCAATGGGCCGACGGTTTCGGCGTCGGTCGCGATTGTTCATCTTCTGTCGTATTACCGTCTGACAGTTCTGACACGATAAGCTCGAGTTTCACTGCTCTGTGCTCTCACGAGCAGAATCTTGATTATGACGAATAGACCGTAAAACCACCCCTTGAAGAATTGTCGACGACATACGAAAGAGCGGATTGTAACGTGACCAAAATTCCCGGAATTTCAGAGTAAGCGCCAAAGCCTAAATATCAATGTTCTCGAAATCGAGCCAGTATCATTCCTCGGAGTGCATCGCTTTCCTCAGGTGCACTTTCCGTTCTCTCCTGCGTCCCCGAATAGCATCCTCTAAGACGACACTGTTGTACGACTGAATAGAGGGACCAATAAAAAGTGAGCCAGACCCGCAGCAAAGGTCGTGTATCCGTCTACTGCGACTAGTGGACGAATGGGAGCTCGGTCAGATGGATGAAGGATTGGGAACGTTTCTCGATCGTATCGAAGCGAATTATCCCATGGTCAGGTCCAAAAACGTCGGACCCATACGGATGGGCGTAGAGATGACGGACGAGGAACCGTCAGACTATAATAAGCACAACCAGTGGCTCGAGAGGCTTGGCCACACATAGAGCATCCGAGTGTCTGATGTCCAAAGCTTTCCGGACTATATGACTTCGTGAATCGAGGCTCTCAATGACGACCTGCTCTCCCTACTGGCAGGTTGGCACACGGCACCGGGGAACATTCATCCGAATAATTGCTGGGGCTAAATTTAGCTTTATCTGGTCATCCTGAAAGGGATCGCTACAGGCTCCTGTGCTCTCGTATAGAGATCTTGGGAGTTTTTTTCCCGGAGGCGGAGTAAACTATTCTGAGCGGAAGTCCTCTGATCAATATCGGCATGCACAGCTTCCTGACGGGGAGACCAGAGGCAAGATACAGTTCGCTGCAGAAAATCTTCTGTGATGGAAGGTTCTGACTCCATCCTCATCCAGGTGTCAAGGCTGGAAGCGAAATTCCGCGACCGAGCGGATGAGGTGAAGTGGTGATCGGGACATTTAAGTGGAATGTGCGGCATGGATATCAGAATTCGAGGAGCAGATTTACAGCGAGGCGATTGCATTCAATCTATGATCATCGGGGACCTCCCTCCCTGGGAGAGGCCTGGAGAATGCTGCTTCCGCTGTTTTGTCCCAAGGTCAGCTAGATCAGGTTGGAGAGGCTCGAGGAATCGTCTCGTTTCAAACGGTGACAGCCTCATCGCGACTGACCGGCGAGTTCGGCTTCGAATTCGTCACATTCGATCGCCACGGTCGCGACCCGTTTGCTCCCAGGATCTCTCGTGGACTCCCATATTCTTCAGACAAGGGATCGAATGATTAGGATCGGATTAGCACCGAACTTACAGGGACCTGGAATCCACTGACACCAGAGCCGATATTGAATCCGAACTGGAATCTCAGCGCGGTAGAATTGAAGAGGAGATATCCTCGATGTGCAATCAGATTCGAAGGTGAAACGCGACAAACCTACGTTGACTTTCACGGAAGGAGAGTTCGGGGTGTGATTCCTGGTTCCCGATGTTCGTGAGGGGGCGAAGCCAACGAGCGTGAGATTAAGCACTAACAATAGCGGCAGCAACAACAACAACGATGACGGAGACGTCAACGACAGGGTTTAACAAGAGGAGGACGAGTACAACGAAGGGAGCCGAGCCATCCACATCCAATTATTTTCGTTAAAACGCCTCAAGCTCTTTCTCTTCTCCGCTTGTCCCACACTTGACGTCGGAACCGAGGCTTCTCCGACGGCTTTCGGCCGTTCTCTTTCAGATTCTGGCAGCGGTTTAACTCGCTGGATGGTTGTCTCGGATGCTCGTCAGCTATGGACGTTAAACTAGCAGCGCGCTTCAAGTACGACTATCCAAGGCGAATCGTCGCGAATACACCCATCGCCGTCGCATTGTCCCATCTTCCGTCTCACATTTTCCCCCATATGTATGTCGTCATTTCTTCTTTCAGCCGCCTTAGTTTTACGGACGTTTCGAAAGTCGGATCTCTTCAGCCTCGTTTTCGCTCTGCGTCCGCGGGACACGAGAGAAGGAACTCCAGGAAAACTCTATGTCGTATGCACATCTGGGAAAACGGTCCCAGATACGAGCACTTGTCTCTTCTTGCCGCTCACTCGCTCGACCTAGAACACGCTGCAGAGAAGCAAACATTTTTTAGCTGTCCTTCGCTTCCAAGAGTGATGGACGAATGTTGTAAGCCGCGCCGACAACCTCCGACTCCGAACGGTGAAGATTGTTCCTTCACCAGCGTTCAAGGCTATGGGACAATGGAACAATGTCGAACTCTGACCGAGTTGATGACGCTAGATGGTCGGCGCTTCTATTCATTGCCGAAT